GTCCTCAGGGGATGCAGGGGAAAAGCCATGCACATCCCCCCCCCCCCCCCCCTCCCCCATTCATTCTTCCACTCAGTGCTGGAGGATCGGAGAGGGGAGAATCCCTGCGGGGAGTGAGGACTGACAATCACCGTGCTCTGCAGGGAGACGATCGGGAAGTGATGGAATCGGTGCATGTTTCTGCTCACTTCCCACTCACCTCATAGTTCTCCTTTTAAAGCAGAACTAAATCTTCCTATCTTTTTGCAGCTGAAGATGGCACCATCTTAGCCTCTATTAAGATCTGTATTCGCCATCATTCTACACAGCATTGACCAGCAATGACGGTAGCCATTTTGAGGGCTTGAAAGTTCACGTGAGAGCTGACATAAAACACATTGGCAACTGTGACAGTAATCACCAGAGGCATGCCTCGAATGTAGCATGCACTGAATATGCACTTGTAGGCAGAATGTAAATGAAAACACTGCAGAAATCAACATTCCTAACTTGAGCTTTCTGTTAGCAAATGGCTATTTCAGTGTAATAATAAATTCATATTGTAATACTTTTCTGCTTTTTAAAATTTTATTGGGAATATACAGTGTGTGTGTGTGTGTATATATATATATATATATATATATATATATATATATATATATATATATATATATATATATATATATATATATATATATATATATATATATATATATATATACACACACACAAAATTGTATCTTTTATAGTAAATCAGCATTGTAGAACTAAAATGAAATTCCTATATTGTGGTTCAGGAGCCATTCCTAATAGCTTGGAGGAGAATAGGAGCAATGCATCATCTTGTGCTTGGTAATTCTTACTTGAAAGCGATCAATAGATACAAAAATAAACAGGTAATTGCTTTAAGGGCATGGTAGATTCTACATATAAGTTTCCATTAGACGGGAACCTCTTCCGTTTTAGTACGCTAAGATGGCTAATGAAAATCATCATAGTAACTGAGGAAGAAAATAAAATTGTCACATTGTTTGTGCAAACTGAATTCATGCTGTGATTTGTAATAAAGATGTCCCTGTATCTGAATGAAATATGGGATGCCATTGTTATATTTCTATTTTCTTTCTGTGTTTCAATAAGGGTACTTTGTATAATTAAAAGAACTCTGTCATAAGTGTTGCTACTTGCCTGATAAGCAGCTTTAGAGAAAAAGTTCATTTTTAGTAAAACTGCATTAGTCCATCATCTCAGCCCTCCTAACCTAAAGTAACATAGAAATCCCCCCACCCAGCTGCTTACTTCTCTCAACATGGCAGCCATCTTCTGCTGCAGATTGGCCATATCTGGTGGTTGTAAGGAAGCAGCTGGATCAGGGGTTTCTACATCATTTTGGTTTATAGGGCTAGAGTGAGTGGACTAGTGCATTTTACTAAACATGTACTTGCACTTTAAATGGAAAGTATTGTATGTTTTTTTGGGGTGGGGCACATATTTTGAACTATAATTACAGGGGGGAATTTATCACACAACATGGCAACCAATAAGCTTCTATTTTTTCAAAGCTTAACTGAACAAACTGAAGAGAGAAGCCTGTTGGTTACTATGGGCAACTGCTCCAAATTCTGTCTGCTCCAGTTTTGATTCATTCCCCCCAACTGTGTTTTTAGCTATGGCCAATAAAACAAATTACATATATGATGCAGTCCGTCACTAGCGTTAACACAGTAATGTTAAAGGAGAACTACGAGGTGAGTGAAAATCACTTAACCTCATAGTTCAAGCCGACTTGTGACAATTAAACTGTCACATGTCGGCTCAATAGATCAGGAAGTGAGCGAACACATACCGTCGCTCGTTCACTTCTTGATCATCTACCTGCAGGGATTCCCCCCCCCTCCCCGCTCCAATCCTCCAGCGCTGACTGGAGGAACGGACGGGGGAGGGGGCGGGTACAGCTGGCTCTGCCTCTAGATAGGCATAGCCCGCTGTCAGTCACGCAGCTGGGCGGATCTTTACTCTATTGTCAGGATACGTCCTGGCTGCAGCAGTCTCGGTATACCGCGAGCTGTAGCTCGCGATATACTGAGCTTTGGGTCATGGGAGGACGCTAGAATATGTCCTCCCGTGACCCTTAAGAGAACTATAGGGAAAAACACTGACCCCATACTTCTTTTGTAACAAAGCTATATTATGTGTTGATCCTGCCGCTAGATTTTTCACTTTCTATAAAAGGACAACAACACTGTTTGTTCTACAGTGAAATCACACAGCCCTGTAGTTTTAGGCCTTGTTCACACTAATTGCTGCTCATGTTTCTGCACACGCAGTGCAGTGGGTTTTGCCGCGTTTTTGATGCGTTACAGGCCGTTTTTGGTAAAAAAGTTTAGCATGGGCTTTCAGTGCATTCCAGGCGTTTGCATGCGTTTTTGATGCGTTTGCATGCGTTTCAGAGCAGGTAAAATAGGGCCTGCTGCAGGTTTTTTTACCTACTCTGGACCTGCACGCTGCGATGTGAACTGGAGCTTAAAATACCATTGGAATACATTGGACGCAGTTTTGCTCCGGTCTGTAACTGCTCTGCTCTGCTCCTGGAACACGCTTGGTGTGAACAAGGCCTAAGATGTACATGTACAGTAGTTTTAG